AAAAAAAAAAAAAAAAAAAAAAAAGAAATATAAGATGAATTCATGTACATTAATAACTATAAATCTTTTTTTTTTTTTTTTTTTATTATATTTAAATAGTAAAAATTTATGACATATGTAAAAAAAAATATAAAATAATTTCTTTTATTTGCAATTAAAAAAAAATATAAAAAAGAGTAATATATATATACTTTTTGTTCTAGTGAATTTAAACCAATCATTCCATCAGGGTATGTTAGACTTGAAACATTTCTACAAAAATGAGTAAATGCATATATACTTTTTTCTAATTCATTTAAATGAAACAAAAATAAATTTACATTTTCACTTTTTGTTTTAAACTTTTCATAAATGTCTTTATAATATTTATCACTTTTTTCATTTATTTTTTCTAAATTCTTAAAATTTAGGATGTTTCTCTCTGTATTTTTATCAATATTATCCTTTATATTTTCACTATGGATATTTTTAATATAACATCTAGCAAAATCCTTATTAGCTAAAGAGTTAAATGCTTTATCTGCAATTTGTTTTTTTAACTGTAATTAGGAAGAAAAAGAAGAATTATATATATTTATATATATTTTTTTTTCTTTTGTTTTTTTTTTATGTATTTTGTTAAATACTTCGTAAATATTTTGAAATAATAATTGTCTTTCTGATTTCTGATAAACATTTGATTTACATATTTCAACTTGCTTCTTTAATATTAAATTAATTTTTTTCAAGATTTCTTCTAAACATAAAAAATGAGTCTTTTTATGTTCCATTGTATTTTTATATATATCTAGTATTATATCCTTCAAAATAAAAATATATGTATTTATATTATTAAACTACTTGTAAGAATAAAAAAATGAAAAATACATATATAGAATTATTACTATTATGACATTTTCTTCGTCAATATTTTTAAAGTTATTATTGCTTTTATTTAATATTGTATTATTTTTTGATATTATATCTTTCCAACAGCTGTTATTAATAGATTTTTCTTTTTTTACTTTACTTTTTTTATCAATATTTATTTTTTCCTTTTCACATTCATATGCATCTTTATGTCCTTTTTCTTCATATATACCAATACAATAATTATCATATTGTCCATTTTTTATTTTATCATGATATGATTTTTCTTCTATTTCATTATCATATATTTCTTCCTCCTTTTCATACTGTTCATCCTCTTCCTCCTGTTCATTTTCTTCCTCTTCCTCCTGTTCATCTTCTTCTTCTTCATCTTCTTCTTCTTCTTTTTCTTTTTCTACATATTTTTCTTTTTCCTTTTTTTTTTCTTCTTTGTCATTTTCTATATTTTTATCTCTTACTTTACTAAGAGTAATATCACAATCACTCATGTATTCATGAAAGCAATTGCCAATATAACCATTTTTTGAAAAGATTGAACTTTTTTTATTTTTTTGCATTTTATATTCTTCTGTATTAAGAAAAAAAAAAATAAATAAAATCAAAAAGAAAAAGTAAATAATTGTAAAATTGTACACATTTTCTTTTAATTTTTAATAGTACGGCTGTTTAAATTAAGAATTTTATCATAAATTTCTGAATTTATATCTGGAGTTTCTGAAAAAGTAAGTAGATCAGTATACATTTTTTTTAATTTTTGATTTGATTCAGGTTCATTTATAATATCACTTTTTAATGGAAAGAATTTCATTGAATTCTTTTTATAAGAGTTACAATTTTTAAATATTTTTTTTTTTTCCATAGTAATATAATTAAAGTTAAATAATATTCTTTATATTAATTGGCCATAAGAATAAAATAAATTAAAAATATATTTAATACATTTTAATTTAAAATTTTTTTCTTTTTATATAATTTTTCAAACATTTTAAAATTTTAAAAAGTTACAAAAATATTCTTATATACACACACAAGATGTGTACGTTATGTGTAGGACAAATTAAAAAGAAGAAAACGGAAAAAAAAAAAAAAAAAAAAAGTTATGTAACAAAAAAAATTAAAATATGGAAACATGAACGATAAAAATTTATTATTTTTCCTAATCTATAAAAATAATTATTAAGTTTCTTTAATCTTCTATATATTTTTTATAAATTTTTTTAATATACATTTTTTCTTCAGTCTCCAGTAAATCATTTAAAACCTATTAATCAAAAAAAAAAAAAAAAAAATCTATAAGAATAATAAATAATTAAAAAATAAAATTTAAAAAAATAAAATTATTATTATAGTAGAACTTCAAATTAGAGATATTTTTATATATTGTTAAGTTTATTTAATTATTTTCTCTTTATTAAAAATTATTTTTTATTATAACCTTTTTTAATGAAAAATTTTTTATATAAAAAAATATTTCGTTGTCTGTTATTTTTGAATGGTTATTAAATAAAGAATGAAGTTTGTTTTTTTTCTTATATAAATTATTCATATTATTATATATATCTCGATATATAAAATTGATATTATGAATACAATTCACATTATCTTTAGATATATTATCTGTTTTCTCATTTTTTTCTTCATAAACACAAAATACATCTTTTTTAACTAAGTTTACAATTATTTTTTTTAATTCAGTTCTAGAAATATACTTTGGATATATACACTCCATCTTTTTAATATTGAATTTATCATTAAAAAAAGAACAAATTTTTGCCAACAATTGTTCTTCCTGATTTAAACTATCAATTAAAGACATACAATAAGCTGTCTATAAAAAAAAAAAAAAAAAAAAAAAAAAAAAATATATATATATATATACATCCTTTATACAGTTTAAATATTTATAATAGCTATGTTTTTTATTTCATTATTAATAATTTTTTTTTTTTTTTTTTTTTTTTACTAATCTAGGAATTAATGGAGCTGTATTTAAATCTTTAACAATTTTTATTTCATATTTATATTTTTCTTCTTGATTTTTTAATATTTCACTTTTTTCATCAAAATTTTTATAATCATAAGACTTATTAATTGGTTTAAAATTCTGAAAATTCATGAATTCATTTTGTACTATGATAGCTTGTTTGCCTTTATTATTTATATATTTATATGAAACAATGTTATTATCATCGTTACTATTTGAATTATTTTCTATTTTCTTTTTTATATCATCGTAACTTTTATTTAGTTTATCTCTTTTTAAGGTAGATATTTCATTTCTTTCTTTTAATTTGGGAAATTTATTTTCTTCCTTTCTGTTTTTATTTGTTTTTTCTTCTTCGTTATTAAATGGATATTTATACATTTTAATGTAACTATTATTAAGTAGATAGAATAAGGTATATTGAACAAATTTTGGTATACCAAAACATGTTTTATGAAGATATTCAATTAATTCATTAGATATTTCTTCTTTATTAGTATTTAAGCATAAACTTACAAAATTATATAATTCATTCTTGTTTAAATTTTCTAATTTTATATATGCATCACATTCTTGTGCATATTTTTTTATTTTACTTAATTCTTTAATATGATTAGTTTTTACTCCATTTACAAATAAAAAAATAAGTGGTTTATGCTTATGCTTAAAAAAAGGATTGCATAAAAGTGATTTTTTAATTTCCATATTTAGGAACCTTTTACTATTCCATTCGTCATCTATACTATTATTATTTTTATACTTTTTAATATATGATTCTTCTTTCATTTTTTGTTCTGCTATGTATAATAATATATTATCATTTATTTTAGGATATAATGTTTTATAAAATATCTTAGATGCTTTTTGCTCATTAATATTCCTTTCTTCTCTAAACATTTGAAATATGTTTTTATTCTGTTCAACTGATTTTTTAATATAATTTTTTTTTTCCAAAATTTCTACATTCTTATCATTTTCATTGTTAATATGGTTTTTGTTAAGTAGTGTTACATTGCTTACATTTTTTACATCATTATCATCTTTTTTTTCTAAAAATGTTATTTCATTAATTTTTTTTTTTTCTTCTTCTTTTGAAGAAAAATCATTTCCAAAAATATCACTTCTCCTTTTCTTTAAGGAAAATGTATTCTCTAAAATTTTGTTATCTGTGTTAAAAGGAAGATTATCATGAAAAATTTCATTTTTTTGTGCTCTTAAAAATAAATTATTTTCATCATTATCATTAATACGTGTTTTTAAAGAAGAATGATTTTTTTCAAAACTATTGTTATCTATTTTCAAATTAACAGTGTTTTCATAAATATCATTATCATAATTTTGTGTATTTAAATTAAAATTACCTTTGCAAAAGTCACATTTTCTACAATGATTTTTTCTCCAGTTCTTTAAACTTTTTTGTAAATTTTTAAATATTTTTCTTCTTTTAAACATAGCTAATTTAGCAATATTTTTACAAGTTTTCCATGTACTTTCTTCAACATTTGTATTTAAAGAAGTTCCAGCTCTATAATTAAAAATGATAAATGTGTTTTCATGTAGACTAAAATAGTAAACCATTGAACTAATGATTCCTATTCTATATTCTTTTAGTTCATTTTTGAAATTGTTATTCACATTATTATAAGTAGTAATATTCTCTTGTGAAGATGAGTTTATATCTCCACATTTTTTTTTTAATTTTTTTTTTTTTTCATCTAAATTATTTTTTTTTATTAAGTTGTTTATATTTTCTTTATTTCTGTAATTAAAATTTCTATCAACTATATTCTTTTGACTATAATTTAGGTCGGAATTATTGCTTTCATCTACATAATTTTTTCCTTCTTTCAATTTTTTAAGTTTATTACTCAAATTATTAGTTTTTTCGTTCTCTGTAATTTCTAGAGAATTTGTGTTTGTTTTATCATATTTTTTAATTTTATCTTTTGATTTTTCATCATTATTCTTAATTTCTTTTTTAGAATTGTAAAACAAATATCTTAAAAGAATTGAAATATTTCTACAAAAATGATAATTTCTTTTATTTTTATATGTTTCTATATCATCACATGGTTCCATGTTTTTTTTTTTTTTTTTTTTTTTTTTATATTCCCTTTTTGTTTTTTGCTTTATTTCTGATTTTGTATCTGTGTCAATATCTGTATTCACATTTTCTTCTCTTTGTCTTATTTTACCTTTTTTATTTTTTTTCTTTAAATTTATTGATGGAATAACTAAATCGTCAACAATGTTAACCATGCATTTCAGAAACCAATGATAAGATGGGTGTGTTAATTCTCTTAAAATATTAAAGTTATCATTTTTTGTAAAAAAAATATTTTTTTTTCTCATATCACATAATCTCCACATATTTAAAATTTCATTACACAAATTTTTCCATGGTAATAATGGATTAGTAATATTAATATATAATGAATTTGGCATATTACTTATATTAAATATTTTAAAATTATTTAAATTTTTTGCAATTAATTTCATTAGTTCAAATATTCCTAAATATTCATTTCCTTCTATGAATAAAACTCCTCCAATATGATAAATTTGATTAAAATCAAAAAATAGTGGATCATAATATTCGTGTAAAAAAAAAGGTCCAGTGTAACTATTATAATCAATATACAAAGAAGATTTAATTTTATTGAATGGAGAAATATTATAAATCATGTTATTAGTTGGATAAGTATCATAATTGTTTTCATTGAGAGTGTTTCCTTCTTTGAAGTTAGATTGACATGATTCATTTCTGTTAAAAAATTTTTTAAAAAAAAAATTTTTTTCATTTTCATATTTTCTTAAATAGTAGAAACAATCTTTTTTATTAAATAATTGTTCAATTTTTTCTTGAAACATCTCTTTATAATATACTAATAAGAAATTTTTTTTTAAAAACGAAAAATCAGTAACTTCTTCATAACCTTTTTTGAAAATGTTTCTATCACATTTTTTTATATTTTGCATAACTTTTGTTTTCTCATCTTTATTTTTGATGGTTAAAGGATTATCAGTTAAACTTTCCATATGTCTAGCATTTTCGTTATTTGCTAATAATTCTTCATCCGTGAAATAATCTGAACTGGATGAGTTATCATAAACAAAATTGATTAATTTCTTATTAATAGTTCCTATTGGGGAATATATTTTTATAAGTTTATCTTTTCCTTTAACTTTTATGGAAATAAGTTTTTGAAATGATATAAAATGTTTACAATTATTAAAAGTATTTTCATCAACGTAAATTTCTTTATTACCTGCTTTACAACATAATCTAGCAGCAATATTAACAGAATCTCCAAGAGCTGTATATTCTTTTCTAATTTTATTACCTATAATACCACACCAAATTCTACCAGTAGAAATTCCAATGCTCCCATTTAATTTTAATGATTTCAATGCATCTATTAATCTGAAGCATGTTAGTAATGCTCTTATAGAATCATCACAATGGTATAATGGTGGTAAACCAAACATAATTAATATTAAAATTCCTTTATCATCAAATATAAATTTGTTAATTGTTCCTTCCATTGTAAAAACTGCTTTTTGTGTTAGTTTCATAATACTGTGTGCAGAATGAACTCCTATCATATTAGAAGTATCAATATCTTTTACAGAGACAAAAATAATAGTAACTTTTCTTATCTCATTAAAAAATGCATTACACCCAATGGATAGTTTTCTGTATACTATATCAGGTATAAAACTTTTTAATAAAATATCAAAATTATCATATATTATATTATTTTCTTCCTCTTCATTCTCCTTTTTTAATTCTCTGATATTTATATCTTCTTTCATTTTTATAAATAAGTAGAAGTTTTTCTTGGAGGTTTCTTGTACTATTATTTTCTCTTTTATGTTTTCATAAAAGGAATTAGATAAAACACTTTCTCCATTTTTAGCTAATGATTCACCAACACCAATTTCTTCTAATGGTTTACCTGATAATAAATAATCTCTTTTATTCAATATATTACCAATTTGCAAAAAGCTAACTTCACCATATGTTATAGCTATGTGAACTTTTAAAAATTTATTTTCAATTGGTGTTGGAAATTTATTTAATAATTTATGAATATCTATACAACAACCCAAAGCTAATAAACATATTTTTTTAACATTTTCGTTATTGAAGCTTTTATTTCGTTCAATTTTTTTATTACATTTTTCTCTACTTTCATTTAATTCTTCTGTTTCACATATTTCAGTTATTTCGTTTTTTATATCACTCTTTTTATTTTTTATATTTTTACTTTTGTTTAATGGCCATATTACCATGACTGCATCTCCACTGAATTTTATGATATCACCTCCCCAATAATCAATAATTTTAATCAAAATATTAAAAAATTTATTTAAACAATTTCCTAATAACTCTGTCCCATTTATTCTTTTGTCTAACTGTTCAGCTAAATTAGAAAATCCACTTGCATCGCAGAAAAACTAAAGATATTAAAAAAGAGTAAGAAAAACTAATTATTTAATAAATTATATAAATTATTAAATATACTATTTAATAAATGTATTTATAATTTTTACATATAAAGGTATTACCACAACTGCATTAAAATTTTGAATAACTAGATTAGAAAAAAATTTATTAGGATTCTCACATTTACTATACAAATTTAATAAAATTTTGGGAAAGAATGATTTGAAATTCATCATACTTTCATTTGCTTTTATTAAATTCTTATAATCTTTTGTTGTATTTTCTTTATTAGATTTTTTAAATAATTCATTTTCAATTAATCTTTCACATTTTATGCTAAACCATCTCCAATCTGAAGTATAGTCATTCTAATGCACACAAAAATGTAAATCCAACATAAAATATGTATATTTCATAAATATTATAAAAAATAAAAAGTACACATAAAATATATGTGATTATCATGGATAAAAGTTATTTTACAAAAAAAAAAATATATATATATGGATTTTTTCTTTCTATAATTTTTTTTTCACTATCACGAACACATATATATATATATATATATGATAAACTTTATTAAAGAATATAACTTTTTTGCTATGAGTAAAACATTCTTATGCCTACCGAATAATTTTTGCTTAACTTATTTATTTCTTCATTTTTTAAATCTTTATTATCACAAGATTTCAAATATTCACTAAAAATATTTTTAATCATCTTTTTAAGTTAGACATTTTAAAAAATAGAATAAATTTTTTAATAATATTTATAATAAAACAAAAAAAAAGTAAACAAATAAATGTACAAAA